AATGAATTTTCGCAGAAGTGAGGGGTTGGATACGCCTTAAGAAATCCCACAGGACCAGAAGTAGTATCTATACATAACCCCTCTAAAGAAAATGACAATGTCATCCAAGTATTTGTCAAGTTGTTAGATATCTGCCAGAGTTTTGCGCTAGAGGTCCTTTGGGAGCTTTGGCTGAGGCCAGCAAAAACTCGTATCTAATCCATGTGGGGCCAAAAGTCGAGCCGATCCCGCTTAGCACTGGACTGTGGTTCTTTGCGAGAACATTTCCGGTGCCTCTTCAGGAATACATTAGATTCCACTAACCTAAGGCTATGCAGCAATTGTTCGGGGTCTACAATTTGATGTTTGATCACTTCCAGATTGTTCGGGAAACGTGAAAAGCATCGACACGATGCGGCTATGTTCAATCCAAGTGAAGAGCACTCTCAGTCATGCGACATCATTGGTAAGTATGATGGATTCTTAGGGAACAAAAGAAGTGTCCTAAAGGATTATAAGTTCATCCATCACGTGGTTGCTTTGTTGAATCTACAGTATAACGCACTAACGTACTTTTAGTGCATTTATTAAGAAATGGCTAGGAAACTTAATTTGTACAAGTTAAGCAGATTTTCATAGCTGGTAGCTCAATTAGAGTGCAAAACGTCAAACAACAGCTGTAAAGCAAAAACGCGCAATAAACTAAGGGGAAAGTTGTCCGAATTATCCCCTGAGCTTACTCAGTTCTCTAGACACATTCGAAGGGGTCCTTGTGACTTTTGGGTAGTAAAACCATTGAGAATTTGAGACGAGGATCATGGTGAGCTCAAAGCTCATGCAATCAGGAAATGTCTAACTAATAAAATAGTCTTGATTCCGTCTAAGATCTTTTTCTTACGCCCTTGGGAAATCAAAATGTATTTGCAGCTCCCAACGACTAAAAGAAAACGAAGTAATGAAAGTTATTTTAGATTTTGCTCTGTGTATATGATGAAGGAAGTCGGTTTCATCATTATCCCAGAGTTTTATGAGGACTCGCAAATTGTGATATAAGTTTGGACTAAAGTGCAAATGAAATTTCCTAAACCTCCAAGATCGGTTTTTTACCTTTTTCCAAAAAAAGAACATTTAAGAAAGCCCGTCTAATCCAAAATCTTCTCAAAATTTCGAAAAGCCGTTTCTAAGTGGTGTCTAACCATCGCTCAAAACTTCTTTCTTACTTTTATGGGCTCGTTTGCCTTTTGAAAAATTTTTGTTCCCCCGGGGATATATACGGCCATGGTTTCTATAATAAAACAGGATTTATGATTTGGGATAGAAAAAGGCTAAGAAGAAACATGAAGAAAACGAATATGCGGGTATCATAAATTGGGGGATGTAGCTGGAGAATTTCAGACTTTTATTCCAGGTCGCTCTCGAAAATCCCCGTCGACTACAAATGATAG